TATATATATATAATCTCCTAAGGAATGCTGAAAGACACTCTCAGGCAAGCTGAGCTGTCTAGAAAAGGCTCAGACCAGCTGAAATTACTGGAAAAGACACTCTCTGACATGTTGAGCTGCCTGTGTGCTTCAGGTTTCTTATTTCCATGCTGGGGTGTGGTTTAGTAATGCAGCTGTCTTTTGACTCCTTTCTGCTCTTTGCAGTAATCACTCATCCATATAAGTGACCCCTAATAAATCTTATTGATTCATCAAGTTGTATTTTGGTTGCTTTGGTCTGTTGGTTCCCTGTTTGGGGTGAGTAGATGTCTGTTCAAATCTCCCCAGGAATAGTGTCACACAACATAGAAGATTCAATTTGATCAGCTACCTGAAGCTCATGCTGCTGTGACCTCACCACCATACACTCACGCTGTGAAGTCAAATGGACTATTATTTCTTTAAGTTGCTTGGAGTGAGTATTCTGTCATAGCCATGAGAAGAGTAACTAAGACATCTTACAATGCATTCAAAGGACTAAAAGAATGGTTGCTCCTTTCTGTGTGCACATGATCCAGGTACAAGATATATAAAAAAGAGAACACAACATGTGAACAAAAAATTCGTATCTTTATGCTTTTTTTTCATAAGATTACCAATGTGGTTGCATGGTTGTGAGCAGCATATTTCTGCAGATGTTTCACCAGAATTTTGGAGACAGTATCCCACTAAGTGAACATCATAGTTTCTCAGCCTCTACAAATTAGAATGACACCCGTTTGAGTACTAAAATGTTATGTAGTACAAATGACCAACTGTATAAACACTATCACACCCTCCTTCAGTAGCCACATGTTACACAGATCCACACTTTATAGCATCTGTTTCTGATAAACTTGTCTCTGGAAGACAGAGAAAATATCCTCAACAATTAAATTTTTCCAATGAGTAAAAATAAGAGAAATATACTAGAAGAGAAAAATCTAGAACAAACAGAAACCCATCAATCTAAAGGGGTTTGTTTCTGTAATAAGCCATGGACAAAGAATTTTATTTCTGAGAATTCGAAGGATTCTCTCTTACTACAGGTTTAAATAACTGAACAGAGCATAAGTAAACCACAGTCATGTTCATCTCTCTGCAACTCCCCTTTTCAATCTAATCTTTAAATTATTCGTTTGATTAAATTTGTACATTTTAGCTTATCTTTCATTTGCCATTAAGTCAATACAACATACACACACAACAAAAATTCATGTTAATCACCTGTCTGTCCCTTCTAAGTTACTCTAAATTTCTACTATTGTGATAATCTGATTACTGCCCACCTAGAAAAATACAAATATGTGATCATATAAAGTAAAACAGGAAGACCAATCTCCCTCTATGTTATTTAAGACACTATCTTCAGGATGTGAGGACGATCTGCCTGTAACTTCTGTCACCCCATTGATCACCAGGGTTAATTCGGCTGATCTGGCTAGCTAGGTGGGTGTCCCCTTCCTCCCTCAACACTCCATGTGCATCTCTCCTGAAACTGCACACTGGGTCGAAGAGGACGACCTTCCCTAATAGAGGAGGACCAGTGTTCAGTCAAGGGTATATGAGTAGTTGCACTTCCCAGCTAGAACCTCCAAACAAGCTCTCAAGACATTATCTTCAATGTGACTTGGCATTTGTGGGCCATAAATATTAAAATGGATTGCATACATAATAATGATCACATAGAAAAATACAATGCATTTTACAATGATGAATATATTCCAATAATTCGTGAATCCTTCTTTAAATGATATAGAAAGGAAACTTGGAATAAACTGAGAAATTTCATTAAAAGTTCTCTAAATTCATCTTATATTTGAAACAATGAATTAAGTATATCTAACATCCAAGACCGTATGTCATTTCTTGATATGTTATAGATTATAAGATTATTCTTATGTGGATACAATTACACACTTTTACACTTACTATGTCCCACACACATTCATATATATATTTAAAGTTTTAAAGAAAAATTGATTCAATAATTTCATACAATGTATTTTATCATATTCAGACCACCTCTCCCCTCTCCATCCTCACCTTGCCCCCCGCAAATGACTTCATGTCCTATATCATCAAATGACAAACCCATCCATCTTATCTAACATCTTAACTGGGTGCCAGAGAAATCCTATCTTATTAAAATGTCAATCATCTGTAATTCTTATACACAGATGGGCCAAATGACAGGCCCATTCCCTTTCATTTGTATGTGGTTTGGGGTCAGGATATGCCCAGGTTTCTTAGACTAGAATTTTCACATTTGTTTTCTGCTTCTCTTACTGCTTAAGATGGACAAATAGGAATTTCTCTCTTCCTCAATGACCAGAAATGCTTGTGTTTCTTCATCAAAGTCAGTTTCTTACAGCCCAAGTACATGAAGTTTACACTCTGGGTGTTTCTGGGCCTCACTCAGTACAGTCACCCCATTGTGGTCCACGGTATTCTCCAAGAGGTTAATTCCCCACAGGGTTTTACTGTGGATAAAACTAGAAGCTAGGTCCTCCCAAAAGCACCAGTTAGCTGGCAGGCCTCCAACCCAAGATTCTCTGAATGGAAGCTGGATGTTCACAGGTCCACATGACACCTTTACATCAGTGTCTTCTAGCTTGTTTTTGGAAATCTGTAGTCTTCTTATTTGCTGTTGAGGACTGCAGCCAGGCCTTGACAGTCACTGGATGATGATGATGATGGCTGGCCCGACCACAGTGGAGCTATGCTATGGCACCTCACAGATCCAGCTCCCAGCAAGAGAAGTGCATGCATTAAGTGTGATGGGGTGGTTGCAAACACGTCCTGGTTGCACCTGCCACCTGACCCACCCCCCAATCCAGTTGTGGGAGCCAGGAGAGCTTGGTGCTCTGGTATCCCTGGGGCCCAAGCACTGGGTGGCCAGGCCAACATGGCTCCACCCACTGCCAGGGTGGCCTGGCCAGTGCACCTTTGCCTACCACCAGGGCACCATCACACCAAGATTCTTAACAAAATGAAGGGGCCCAGAATCATCATTTAAGTCCTTGTGCTGGGCGCCACAACCACCTCCATTGTTGTTCCAGCCCCCACAGTTGTGCTGCTGCCATCTTGGCTCACCAGTTATCTTCCCTCTCAGTTGCCAAGTCCTGAGTTCAGAATTTTGACATCATTATAGAAGCACCTATGATCACGAAAATATTTATCTTGTGTGATAAGGATCCTCACATGGTCCAGTACATACAGTTTCTTGGAGCTAGCATGACCCAGATCCCAAGGCCAGCTGCCCTGGTGTATGCCTCATTCCACCACCATCTCACCAAGATTCTTAATATAATGAAGAGACCTGGAGTCATGTTTTAAGTTCTTGTACTGGAAGCCACCTTCATCCACCCTCACTGTTACTGTTGCTCCAGACCCCTCAGCCATGCCACCACCTCCAGGTCTTTTCCCTCTTACTTACCAAATCCTAAACTCAGAATTTTGAGATCAAATAAAAATACCAAATTTTTTAATAAAATAAAGAGACCTAGAGTCATGTTTTAAGTCCCTGCACCAAGAGCCCGAGAGCCACTGACAGACACCACGACCACCAATTCTTTGGTGCCTGCACCAGAATTACCACCATCTTGACTCTTCAGTTATTATCTTCTTTATTTTCCAAGTCCAGAGTTTAGAATTTTTAGATCAATATAGGTGCACCTACAGTAAAGGAAACACTTATTTTGTGTGGTAAGATTCCTCATGGTCCAGCACAAACATTCAGTCTCTTGGGAGTGGTGCAGCCAGAGCCCTGAGGCTGCTCAGGGCATGCCTCACTGCACCGACATCATATTGTTCTCTCCCATACACACATATATTTTGCACATTACCATAAGTTGTGTTAAAGCATGAAAAGCTTAACTCTTTTTAAATTTTATTTTTATCTTGTGTGTATGAGTGTATTGCCTGCATGTATGTAAGTATACCTGTGTCATGCAAGGTCCACAGAGGTCAGAAGAGGGCACTGGATTCCCCTGGAACTGGAGTTACAGACGGTTGCTAGCTGCCATGTGGGTATAGCCACTGCTCTTAACCACTGAGTCAGCTCTCAAGCTCTGAAAAGTTTAACTCTTGATAGAAAAATTATTATCTTATATAATTATTAAAAATTATATATCTTATAGAATATAAGATATATCTTGTATCTATTTGGTCCACATTAAGTTCATTTCTTGTATAGCAATATACATCTTTTCACATTTTTTCCAAGACTACAAAATGTTTGGATAGTATTTGATCTCTACACATAATTTTATAAAATTTATAAAACTGAAGCTGTAGACTATATAGAAAGTACAAATTTAAGCATACAGGATTTCTTATAAACTGGTCTTTTTCTTAAATATGCAAAATGATCTGCAGTGTGTTTTAGGAACCCAATGGTTCTGCATCCTTGGACCTGCACCTCAAGCACTGCATCACGGAAAGAAATGCCCGTCTCAGCTTAGTGTTTCCCAGAATCAGGACACATGAATGGCCTGAAGGAAAAGCAAGTTCCATAACAGTGAAAAACAAAATTTCTGTATTTTTCTTCTGAGAGCCAATATTCCAAAGCTGGAAAATAAGTGACAAAAAGAAAATCGTATATAGTAGCAGAAAGGAGACCACAGTTTGCAGGACCTTTACATGGGCTGTGGTACTGACGTCCCCAGATCCTTTGGTGGTGTGCTGTATTGTCTTCAGATGTTTCCACAAGGAGAAGATCAGCAGGAGAAAAGTTAATAAGAAAAAAGTAAAGGGTATCAGTGCAAACATGATGTTGCAGAATAAAATGAGTCTAAAAAATTGTCCAGAGCTATTTGATCTAGTAATGTAGGAAATATTTCTTTTACATCCAACAAACCAGGTATCAATCTTTATATTTATAACTATAATGTTGATAAACAAGAAGAGCAGAGACACCACCATTGTTACTGGAACCACTTTCTTAACTCTCCACTTTAAGAAAAGAAAAAGAGAACTTGAAAAATTGGCTATCTTGAGAAAATAAAAGATGCTGAGGCAGGTAGCGAGCCAGATGCTAAAACGATTAGTCATTGTCCAGGAAATATTCAAAATTCTCACATCTTTTTCAGTTATCAATGAAGCTGGGGACAGTGCAGATATCAATAACATCATCAGAATCAACCACAGCCAAGCAATTCTGGAGACAGCCAGAGCACTGAGGATTAGATCCACTGAAGAGATTTTTCTTCTCTTGACCCAGTCCATGATGTTCACCAATGCCATGAATGCATTTCCTATATTTCCTATGATGAATTCTACACTTAAAATGGTTAATAATGTACACTGTAGGATAGCAGTCATTGTCTCCAAGAGGATGGTCCAGTTTCTACTCCACTATCACAGATTTGTTAGTGTAATCTTCTTCTAAAATGCTATGCACATCTGATTCTTGAAAATTCCTAACATGTTCACTTTTATGAACTCCAATATACAACATCAAATAAACATCTCGATCCACTACTGAACTGGTTCAGAGTTTTCTTCACAAAAATCTTACATTGTCCACGACAGCCCAGTTGAGCTCCATCCGGATACTGGGAGCCTTACACACAGCAGCCAGAAGTACTCTGTAGTCGATGATGAAGGAAACACTGAATTTTCATGTACTGTCATCAAAATAAAGGTATACTTATTTGCCTTATTTTATATGTCTACATGTTTCAGTTTGTTTCTTAATTTATTAATAAACAAAATTATAAAATTCTGACTCACATAGAAGGTAGCAATATCTAAACTGGTGTATAGCATAAGAACTTCATTAAATAGTTCAATTTCTAAACTTCTTCCTGCAAGATATCAGAGTCACCCAAAAATCTTTTAGAGTTCATTATTCCTCAAATACGTGGTACTTAGGAGACTAATAATTTCACTTTTTACAAGGTCATGCATAAACATATACATGTACACACAAGTATGTACTAATTCACAACCATATTTCTGTTAAGAACCCTTTCTTTCTGGCTTCAATAATCAGGTTTATCATTTCCTTAACATTTGTTGTGTCTCTAACTCATGCTTAGTGATAGTTGTTACAACATGGTATAAAAGTGCTTTCAACTATAATTGATACAGTAGTAATGAAAATAGTCTGAAAACTTGTAACTATATTATCCATAAAACAATAAGCTTAATCCACATAACAACAAGAATCCTCGTCATTCTCTGTGTCTCCCTTGTTGGTAATTCTGATCCCCCTTTAGCACCAAGGAGCTCCAGATATCATCCATTTTCTTCACTCTGCACTGATATCTGCTCTATTACCACCACTATAAACATCAAGGCAGAATGAAGCCTGAAGCTATAGCATTCGTTACGAGATAAAGGATAGCCAAAGAATTAAAGACACAAATATAACTAAATTATCAAAAACATGCATCAAAAACTTCAATAAACTTGCTATTGTGTACACTGGTAAGTGTGGCTCAGCCATGAAGAAGCTGATCTAGAGGATAGCAAATTTTGAAGCCAGCTTGGGCTACCTAGTGAGACCCTGTCTCACAACAACAATAAAAATGTTTGGAGACTACAAAGAAAGACATAGATAACTGCATGTAAAAGATGGTCTACAATATTTTCCACCTGAGCAACACCAAGCAATGAAGGTCTGACCAAAATATACTGAAAATTCTCACAAAAGCCCAACATTTAGAGAACAGACATACTAGGAAGGTCAATTAGTCCAGCACATGAAATGTTTTAGGGGAAGTTGCTAAGCATAAAAGCATATACAAACCTTATTTGTAGAGACAGAGAAGGTCCCCCTGGCGTGGCTCCTTCCATATAACAAACAGAGGAAGAGGACAAAGAGAAATGCAAAAACATTCCCAGGGTGGAGCTGTGTGGAGCTGCTGCTGGTACTGGAACTCCAGGGTCTTTTAGAAAAATGATAGAATTTATTATCCAATGGAGGAGAGCATTCTCACTCAGAGGAGCCTCCCTGAGTCCCTCTTCTGCATCTTCCACTCTGGATAGGAAACACTTCAGTTTGCAACCTGAACAGTAGTTCTGAAAGAAAGTCTTTTCCAGACAAAATGGCAATGACACCAAGAACAGTGCCACACATTTTATATGCTGAACAAAATGACAAATCATTTCCTCAGTAAGGGGCTTTTATCTTTATGAATTTACTTATAATTTTATATTTACATACATCTATAGATTACATTTCATCTTTTTTAATTCATGACAAGCTTGTGTGCTGTTGTAATTGATAATAGTTTAGTAAACGAAATTTCTATCTACATATCTCTCCATTTAGATCACTATACTTATAACAGTAATATCCTACCAGTACCTCAATGGACATATTTCTCTTTTAAATGAAACTAGATGTTTGTCCAAAATTTAAGCAAATGTTAGTGAAACTCTCTTCTTTCTAGATTTTTAATTTAAACTATTTTTATGTATTTTTTATTTTATAAGTGTGTTTTGCCTGTATGTATGTAAGTGCACCATGTGTGTGCAATGCCGCATGTGGAGGCCAGAAGGGGCTTCAGATCCCCTGAAACTTGATTTATAGTCAGTTGTGAGCCACCATGTGTGTGCTGGGAAGTAAACATGGGTCGTCTGAAAGAGCAGTAAGTGTTATTAACCTGTGAGCCACCTTTCCAGCACACTCTCTAGGGTTTTTGAAACAATGTTATCTTTTTCTTTTTTTTCTTCTTTTTGACTTTAAAAAGCAATATATTCGAGGTAAATATAAGCTGTAATTAAAGTGATAGCACATTTATTTCACTAGTTTGTAGGCAAGAAGAACTGAATACATTTTGCAAATATGTCTGATTTACAACCAGGGAGTGATCAACACAGG